AATTTAAAATCCAAATACTTATGAGCCTAACTGTATATAACATACTGTACATTTTGTATGATACTATTTTGAAAATCATCACTTTTTAACTATCAACTGTTTAAGCTGAAATATTACTGATATTCATTTTGCCATATTGTGCAATCAAACTTTACTATATCAAGCTCATTTTATACCATCTATCCATCCATCCATTTTCTGTAACCACTTGCCCTATTTAGGGTCACAGGGGGTCTGGAGCCCATGGGTGCAAGGCAAGGGACACCCCAGGATGGGGCACAGTCAAACACCATTCACTACCACACGCATACCTATGGGCAATTTGGTTGTGTAATTTCAAATCCATTGTGATGGTGTACGAAACCAAATTTATGAAAACTGCCATTGTTCTAATATTTATGGAATTATATGTATTTAATTATATAAGTAGTTCATAGTAAGATCCCATCCGTAGGTGGAATATGTCCATTAGATTAAATGCAGTTATTCTGATTTAAAATATTTCTTATAGCCTTTGCTTTTTGCTGTTCAACACAGGACCTGCAAAAGTCCGTCTCCAAAATATCCAGTTTCTTAGGGAAATCCCTGAGCCAGGAAGTCATTGGGAAGATTGCGGATCACTGCAGGTTTCAGAACATGAAGCAAAACAGCATGTCAAACTATTCTATGGTGCCAGAGGAGTTCATGGACCAGAAGAAATCCGAGTTTTTGAGGAAAGGTAGGACCAACATTGCTAGATCTGTGTCAGCATGGCAATATCTCAGTTTGTTTGTTACGGAAGCGAGGCATGGTGCAGACAGAAAAAGGTGATGATCCACTGGCGGCTCTGAGACACAGGGGGGGTTATTGCAGAAACAAAAACACTGTGTAAAACTACAAAGGAAAGAACCACTAGGGGTCAAAATGCAAAAGGGGAAAACAACGACTAACTACAAGGAATGACAAGGAAACAAAGGGAGTATTCCATAAAAGTAGCTAAAGAAAGGCAGGCTTTCCCGAAAAAGTCTGACTCAAACTAGCGCCATCTCTAAACTTAGCCTCATGTTGTTCCACTAACGCAGTTAAGCTTTAACTAAAAATTGTTGAGAAATTTCTGTCTTCTACCAGGAATTTCCGGAGACTGGAGGAATTTTCTCACCGACGCTCAAGCTGCACATTTCGACACAGTTTTCAAAGAGAAAATGGGGGACGTCGCATTCAAATTTGCATGGGATGATTAATGTCAGGAGTTAGGAGTGCTGGCCAACTACGCAACGTGACACATTAACTCTGACCAGCTGCCATTCCTTGGTTGTATTCTGTCTGCTGAACAGTCTGAGACTGTAATATTACAATAGCTAGATTGTTCTCATTATGTTATTTAGAAAGTTACAGTAATCATTTCCATAAGAAATTTACAAACAAGAGGAGGCCATTCCATCCATCAAGCTCGTCTGGGGAGAACTCAACTAATAGCTCAGAATTGTTAAAATCTTATCTAGCTCTGATTTAAAGGAACCCAGGGTTTTAGCTTGCACTACACTAACAGGAAGACTATTCCATACTCTAACTACACTCTGTGTAAAGAAGTGTTTTCTCAAATCCAGTTTAACATGTTCTCCCACTAATTTCCACCTATGGCCATGAGTTCTCGTATTTAAACTAATATTGAAGTAGTCTCCTCATAAGACATTTCCAGTTACAGGCAGGTAGCGCAGATCTGTGTTGTGGTATTATAACACATTGAAACTAAGCCAGTGTTTGATTCACTGCAGCCTCACACCTCCTGGGCTGTGGGCTTGACTCTGTCCCGGATCTGGGTGTGGGGTTTGCATGTTCTCCCCCTGTCTGTCTGGAACCTCCTTCTGTAGTCCAAAGACACACAGTTAGGTCAACTGATGTCTCTAAATTTCTCATACCATGTGTCTACTCTTCGGACTATATCCTCCTGAGACAAAAGAAAAAGATTTTTTTCAAATTTATTTTTAATTTCACAGCATGTACTCTTTAGTGTACAACAGGAATAAATATCCTGTACATCTTACATCAGTGTCCTGTGTCCTTACATCAGTGAAAAGATAGATGCAAAAACAAAATGTCCACTATAATGGACATAAATGAATGGGTGGGGTCTCAGGAGGATATTCTTACAACTTTTTTGTTTCATATTTGATGCCAAGAGCCAAAACCAAGCAGCATAAGACGAGAAGCAGGTGGACACCATGGATGGGATGTCATGTTATTCTACTTACTTTTTACTTATATTAAGCAACATTAAATGTTATGTACTTCACCTTTAATAAAATATTAACATTTTTTACATAAATATGCCTTGATGCGATGTATGTTAGAATATTACATGTTAGTGCTACTGTAACAATAAACTATACTTGGATCAATAAACTATAAACAAGTACTGATGTCTTAGTATATATTTTGTATAGATACTGCCTGTTGAGAAATTCACTGCAAAAAGATCATTTAAATGTAAAAACATGCATTTGTTCCCTACACACAGGAGAATACATTGTTAGTGTTTCAACAAAACAATCCAGATGGCCCAAGTATTAATGGAATTCAGCAATATTATTTTAGCCAAGGTCCAGATGCACGAAATATGATTCCGATCTCATCAAATCTGGGGCCCAGTCTTGTGGAAATGTCTGGTGTTAAGGAATTAACTCACATACAGGCGAAATGTTGCTGCAGTGTACACCACTCTGCCCTGTTATGTGGAGCTAGTCACTATAAATGTGAGCAAAGAAAATCGGCCATTATAGAACCTGAACTCAAAATTCAGGAATCTTTGCACATAAATCCCAGCATTCTTGCAAAACAACAGTTCCTTTGGCAACACTTTACTTGAGAGCACAAATACTTATTTTAACTGAAATATTAATCATGATCAAAAGTAGGACCTACTGGAGATAAAAGACATCACAATTCATTAATGAACACGAACTCAGTAATTATTTGTTCCTTCAGTAGCCCACAAAAATTTACAGAATTAACGTGTAGTAACATTGTAGTAAAGTGACAGACAAAAGACGCATCATGATTCATGAATGAACATACATGCAACTAAGACTTAGTTTGTGGTTAGTTAATACAAAAGTAACAGAAAACTATATCTGTACCCCTCTAGTAAAGTCTTACTGGTCCTTCTTCACTAACCGCTGTGAAAACTAATTTATAGAGCTTCTGAAGAATTTGTAGTCTATTTAGTTTAAGTTCTGGATTGGGTTGCCTGGACTGAATACCATCACTACGAGCTTAAAACCAAAGTAAGCTTTTATCGGTCTATTATACAAGTAAATTAATAACATTTAACCTACAGATCCAGCACATTCTCATTCCAGTTATAAACAGGATACACACGGGTTGGGGGATTTTATTGGTGATGTGAGGGCATCATCAGTATTTTTGTATAATATTCACACATCAGTGACCAGAGCATTCCTGCATCTATACTATGGCAAATTAAGCTTTTTTTTTTCTTTTTTTTTAAAAAGAGTACATGTAAATGGCCACACAGGAACATTTCACATAACTTACATGTGGGTTACAGAACAAGGCAAAACCAGCAGATGTGAAAGCTTTAGGGTTTCACTCCTTCGGGTCACCAAATGTCATTACTTTGCCAGAGACTGATGCAAACATTTTGCAATGTAATCAAAGTACATTTAAAACTCACTGAGTATAAATAAAATGCTGTCAAAGTTCAGAAGCAAGCTAGCAGTTTCTTACAGACCAGTACAGGCAGAACCAGGCTCAAGCAGCTGACATTCATTCAGGGATCTGGTAAGATTTCCTTCTCCTGACGGAAAGAGCCGTGAACTAGTTTTAACATGATTGGGGCACCCGCCTCCTCAGCTTCTTCTCAGGGGTCTTTGAGCATTTCTTGGCAGATTTGACCAGTTTTTTGGTGCCAGGAGCAGCCCTAGCCTTGCTAGGGGTCTTCAGCTTCAATCCCTTCGGAGGGGCCTCGGATCCCTCTCTCGTTTTTCCTGTGACCTTATCCGGTCCCGTTTCTTGAGAAACCTATAAAAAAAACCACAGGGAATGTGAATTCTCTGCCAGCACAGAATAAGAACATGTGATCATCATCTGCACCCATTTAACAGCTGCTGTTCATCCCACTTTGTTAACGCTAAGCACCAGCTGCTTTCTGACATGCCTGCAGACAGCAGTCTTTGGTATTTGAAGGGGAAAAGGGGGAGGGGGGGCGGGCAGGTGACACTCAGGTATGCGAAGGGCATGTATGGGAACGTCAGAACAAAAGGACATGAACTTGGGGGGGGGGCTGTTGGAATTTCTGTACTACTTGCTTTGTTGGAAGATGTGAAGATCTCGCTCCTTTACTATTTATACTCGTAACTGGACATTCTTTGGAAGCACAGGCTAGCTATTCTTATGGCTAGTCGACAACTAAGCAGCAGATATGTTTGTAATGCGTTTGCCTCAATTGTTTCTCACTTCGGACAAACACGTCCGTTAAATGCTTTTCCAGTTTTCCAATTCCTGTACTGTGTTATATAGCTTTATGTGCATGGAAATGGTCGGCAAAGTCTTAAAGTAATTCCCATCATAGAAACCTCTCCACTGAGCTGCCTGAAACATCTCCTTGGAGTATCACCCCTTACCCATGACATGGTCAGGTCACCTCGTAAAGCCATGCAGCCTGCACACTAACCTTATCCCAAGGGGGGGCAGACCGTGTAAGGCAAGCTGACCAGTCAGGCCCCTTTAAAATAAAATGCAAACATTTCAATTCCCACTCTGCCTCACCTCCAGTTTAGCCTTCTTATTCGGCGACCTAATTGGAACAAGTTGGGGCATTTCCTCTTCCTCCCCAGAAGATTCCTGCTGTACAGCTGCTGTGTCTTTCCTCTTGACAGCCTTCCCCATTTTCTTACTCTTGCCTGCCCCCTTCTGAAAGCCACAGAGACAGTTTAGACAGGAATGAAGTGCAATTCGCCAGGCTCGGGGGGGGGGGGACGACCATGGTACAGACATACCTTATTCGAGACGGCCTGCCTTGCCTCCTCTAGCAAGGACAGGTGACTCAAGTCCGACGTGTAAATAGGCAGCGCGGCTGAGGTCTGGCTCTTCAGGTGGATGATTTTGAGGTCCCTCCCTTTCTGGAAAGAGGAGCACGTCCATGAGAGATCAACCCCATCATGCAGATTATGAAAGGTTGTACGCACCACAGAAATGTCGCCGACAAGCTTGAGTGTGACGGCCATCATCTAACACACCGCCAGCCTCAGTCGAGCCTCTGAATCATTTCAGAGGGGGTTTCATTTAAGCTGCTTACCTGCTACAATGACTATTAGGTTTAAATGTACCTCTATAGAGTAGGAAACTATCCAGCAGGGATTACCTATTAGAGCTGCAACGAACAAACTCTGAGGAGCTCACGAGCCATGGTTAAAGTCGAGCGCAAATTAACCCCTAAAATATCACAGAGGGCACAAACGTAATGCAGTGTTCATTTATTTATAAATTACAACATTTACCTATTACTCTGAATTTTCACTAGGGCCAGGCTGATCCACGCTTTTTCAGTTCCGATCGGATTCCGATACAGGAGCTCTTTTCACTAATTTTATCATTTTATCCCACTTTCAGTGCTGCTACAATCCTGATACCTGAACAGAGAGTATCGGCCAATATAAGTACCGATCTGATACCAGAATTTTTAAACTAATAAATTCATTGCTTTTTTCATATTACGCGTGTTGTCTTGCGTGCACTTTGTTTAGTGGGATTTTCCACTAAACTCTACTCCCACCTGTCAAAACTTTGTCTTTACAAAGATGGCAAATGGATGTGCTACTAGTTGCTGTTAAAAGCATAAAATACTTCCAGATAGTATCCCTCTTACCCGATGTTCTTACTCTCCCCTGCTACAAAGTGTATGCACATGATGTCACAGCAGGCGGAGTCACTACTCTCACACCCACTGAGTGGCAAATAGACTGAGCACCAGCTTCAGCATTCAGCTTGACTGCAGCAAAAACGCATCTAAAATGGGGAAGAGCTGTCATGCAATTGTTTGTAAAAATCGATATAACAAGAAAGTCGTCTTTTTACAGACTACCGAAAACTTAAGTAAGAATCGGACATGGATCACTTACATATGGCTGATGCCAGAGGTGTCTAATAGGTGTGGAACGGTGCCGATACCGATCTGAATATCAGACTGGTGCACAAATCTTCACAAAGCATTTTTTAAAACATTGTCTGTATCCCAAATACATAAGGTAAAAAAATGAAAGTAAACAATATGCAGATCCGTGTTCATATTTTATAGTTATGTATTTTTGTGAAATTACTAGGAGATTAAGTAATCATTATATCTGAATATGTCATTTCTTAAACAGATTACCATATTGGCCCCAATATAATATAATTTTCCTAAGAAAATTGCATCTAAAAAACTGGGCTCATCATATATTCAGGGACTAGAATTTAAATGTCATTGTACACATAGAACAGTAGATGGCGCAAGTGATCAGCCTGCTGGCTAAAAGTGGCCACTTACTGTACTTCAAAAGTAATTGACAGAATTGACGTTGCTATAACAATGCAATGTGGCATGAGCAATGATCTCATTCGCTGTCCATGATGGCTGCTATAATGTGATGCCGTGGGTTTGATTAGCAGCCTTATATGGAGTTACCAGCATGCTTTGCACCTCACCCATTTGTAGATAGTCCAAATTAGTGTTTTTGTGAATTTGTTAAGTGTAAATTTTAGAACTGTTTTATGTTCACCGTGGAATGCATTTTTTTAGTGCGTATCCTAAGTAATGTGTAAATTGTTAGCTTCTCCGGCTGTGCTGCTGCTAATATTAAAACGACAGTGGCTGTTAGTAAAGGGTAAAATTCATTTTAAGAGAGAGGTCACATCATTAATATGCTTCACCCTCTCTCTGCAATGCGTTGTTTTACCCTCTTCATGTGGGTCTGTTACCAAGACAACATTCGGAAAAACATTCTTCAAATATTTGCCGTTTAAACACATACAGTAATCTGACTACCTGTGGTTAGTGGTACACTTCTGTTCCTGTCAAATAAAATCATTTCTCTATAAAGGTAAGATTTTGCACTCCAAAAACTTTTTTCTATAACAGGAGCGAAAAAGTAGAGGGTTTGTCTCATATTCGGGCCAAAACGGCAATCGTGTTTTTGGCGAGTTTAATTTAAATTGCAAAAAATATTTACGAAATCTATTACTGTGTTCAGTAATAAGACTTCAACAAAACTTGGATGCATGATGTTCATATTTATGTACCACAAATAAAATTTTTACTAGCCCTGTTTTATTTTTTAGCAGCTACTGTTATAGCAAAGCTCCCTGGTTGCAGAGCTAATGTACCACAGCTGACCAAGCTAAACTATACCAAAAATCGCCATCAAATGATCAAAAACTCTTCAAAAGGCATTTCTACAGTCAGACAAATGTAATGATATAGAACACATCATTAGTTTAAAATTATTAAATTAAAACTGAAGACTAATAACATTATTTAGAACTACTTCTGTTGTGGGACTAGGCCTATTTGATCAACTGTATATAGATAATATGCTCATGATGCACAATTGTCTGCCAACCATGGATTCTAGGAAAAACTTTTCCAAAATGCCCTTGGTAGGTACAAGTCCAAAGTATGGCAATAATTTGGGGTTCCTGCAAAAGGGGAATAGCACACTGTTTGGAAAAATTGCCTCCCAGAGCTTAGATATAGTGGAGGAACCAAAAACTTTAAATTAATGCAATTGATTGCAAACTGTTGACAAGTAATGTGACAAAAAGAAAAAGGACATTCAGTATTCTGTTATTTGAACAGTTAATAATTCTAAAAATTCCCAAATAAAAGAATTAATGCATAAAAGTTTTTACTTTACGTCTTGCCATCCGGCTCGTGTATAGCTGCACTGTATCATGATACGGTTTTCTTGCCCGAGGCATGATAATACACAGCCCTGTTACCCATGCAGCATTTTGTGGTATGTCTCACACTGCAAGGTACTACGGTCTTATGAACTACTGCCATGTGTATAATTTACATCACATTTATCTAAAACTCTTCATAATGTTTCATGCTGGTTGCCAACCTCAAGCATTTATTAGTGTGTAGCCGTGAACTGGGACCGATTCTGAAGACTAAGTGAGCACTGCAGTGTTTTACCAGTGTAAAAGGCGTTTTGATGCACCACTTGAGTTAAAGCCCAGATTCTCCTCATGGCCTCAGGCTGAGTGAGTACACCCTATACAGTCCTCAGCCTCCATCAGTCAATAGCTACAACCATGACTCACTGGTGGCCATGCTGGGTCCTTTCAGCCAGAGGAAAGGCAGAGACTCACCTGGGGTAGCTGAGACGTGATGATCTTCACTGCAGCCATGATGTTCTCCACCACCTCGTCAGCGGTCATCAAGGAGTGGGCCACACGAGCCATGCTACAGAACCAAATACAAATACAGTCAGACTGCAACTGACCCAAGACTGTCCACTGCAAAAGACCCACTCATGTAGAGAAAGACTCTGAAGATATGCTGCTACCAGAATGGGGAGTGAAAGGGCACTTTCCCACTGCACCAGGTAGTGTACTTTCCCTTTGCCATTGATTTCCAGTCAGATACCAGTACAAAAAGTACCAAACCAGCTGGGCTACTTTTCCAGTACTTCAGTACTTTGGGGTGGGGCTCACAGATGCATATACTGTCGACTGTTTATGCCAGTAACCTGCCTTGCAAACAAAACACACTCACAATCCTGAAAAAGTGTGGTCACAAACTCAGTAGGGCTGCACGATTTGGGGAAAATATCGAATCGCGATTTTCCTGAGAGAAATTGCGATTACGATTTGATTTGCGGTTTCATTTTTCATGTCAAGCTTCAGTTCAATATTCAGTGTGTAGTAATTTTAAAAACATATGACGCAGCATGAGATACCATCAGTATTAACTGGTTTATATTCTAATGCAAGGATGAGAATTTAAAGATGTGATGTGTCAAGTTAAATAAAGTAATAATAAAGAGACTAGTTTTGAAATATATCAAAGCTAGTCTGCCTGCCAACTTTGATCCATATCAGTTTGCTTATACAGCACATAGACCAAGAGGATGTGATTACCACAGACCTCCATACAGCACTAGCACATCTTGACCAGAAGGGGACATATGTTAGAATGTTATTTATTGATTACAGCTCTGCATTCAACACTATTGTCCCCAGCAGGCTGGTTACTAAGCTGCAAGACCTGGGTCTTAGCAGCACTTTATGTATGTGGATTAAAGATTTTCTCACCAATCGTCCACAGACAGTTAAACTTGG